GATGTGCCTGTTGACCGAGTTCTGCCCCGGCGGCGACCTCCACGTGCTCCGCCAGCGCCAGCCGCTCAAACGGTTCGACGAAGCTGCCGTCAGGTGCGCACGTTAAGCGACTTCCTTCCTTCCTTCTCTCTCCCCTTTCCTTTTCCAATTTTGAAATAGTTAGAATAATATTTTCGATTTTTCTGGAAGTCTAGAAATGCGTGTGGTTGTCCCCCCCGTCCTCGATTCCCGTTCCCCGGAATTCCGATTTCACGGGCTCCGTCCCTCCTCCGTAAACCGTTATCTGCGTAACGAACCCGTTATCTCCGTCCCTCCTTTCGTTATTTCCTACTAACGGAGTGATACAGTGAGTCACGGCGTGGTCGCCGTGCAATGGGGGAGATGATCACGTGTGGTGTAGTCCACGTAATCATCCATGGTTTGACTTCTTGCTTGCTTTGCTTCCTTCCTTCTTTCTTTCTTAATCACAGGAAAGAGATCCTAGATCGCGCTTAATGCTTGCTTAACGACGTAAATTACGTGAACTTCCAATAAGGGTGAATTTTTTATATGGCAAGGACCAGAAGGAGCCAGTTTGTGATCACATGAGAAATGGGCAAATTACCTTTTAGTGCCAACTGCCTATCAATAATAAGCCATATGGGAACTGAGAAGAGCCAGCTGGTGCTGTCGTTAGACCAGTTAGTAGGATCGGTGGGTGGTTGGAATTCTTTGTGAAGTGTGGCAGGAGCCAACTCAAATTGCCATTGATGAGTCAAAACCTAAGGTCCACCATCTGTTGTCAACAGTATTTATCCCTTCATGAATTGTGGCAGTTTGAGCTATTCGTAGTGAACTGTAGGTCAAGTTTTCATCTTTGCTTTGCTAGTTTTTCCATCTTTGATTGAGACTAAACCAAGGAGCCATAAACATGGAGAAAAAAGGCATATACTTGGACTTCAAGGCCGTACAACCATTGAAAGCGAATTTGGATATATAGGCAGGCTCCATTTGGGAGTAAACAATAAGAGATGGTGGTCCTTTTTTTCCTTGGGACAGAGCATATTGTGTGTATCGTTGTCCGTATATGAAATGTGTAGCCCTTTTGGCATTATTGGTTGAAGGTTTGCATTAGTGGTGGTGTTTTTGTGTACTATTTTGGAGTTTGGTAAAGGTTTAAAGATGAGCATTTATAGCAGCATGACTAATAGGGTTTGAATCAGATTAACCCCTAGTAGAATCACTATGATTAGCCTACTGATTATCAGGGTTAGCTAACTGCTCTGCCTTTGTTTTAGGGCTTTACATGTCATTAACTCTCTTACCTGCTTGTGAGTGCTGCTAGAAATAAGTATACAAGGAAACCACTTCTTAACTCCAATTAAGAAACATAACACTTCCATCTGCCTCCTTTAATCATGACACACTCCCTTAGCCTTTCGTCACTTAGCCGTTTCTTTATTTTCCTCAGTGGGGGCATCAGAGAGTGTTAGGAAGACAGTTGCATTAGTTTCCAGTAATCAATGTCGCCGATTACGTGTTATGTTGTATAATTTATCATATCACATCTATCGATTTCTCATCTTCCACTTAGAGCCATCATGAAAACTGCCAAATGATGGATATTATTATGCTTCCTCCACTTTGGGTTATTGTATTGTTTTGGTAGCATAAAGGGAATCCATATAAGAGGGTACTCCTGTCGATCCTTTGTTTAGCAGTTAGGGGGAAGTATGAAGTATGAACACCAAACAAATCTGTGGTTTTTTATATGCATTATTGATGCATGTAAGGTAATGATATGATAATCAACAGAACAAAACATACATCTGGCCAATGATATTGTGACAATTGTAGGTCCCCCCGTTGTTTCCTTTGGTTTAGGGACTCTTGTTGTTTAGTGGCTTATCAATTATTTTCCTACTCGAAGATTAGAGTTCACGTCCTATTTTGATTTTGTCCCTCTGGCCTTGTTGAGTTTATGAAGTCACTATGTAATGTTGTATGATTGAAATTAAATCTAAGGCGTAAAGAGGGAGAAACCATTGCCACATATTTTTTTAGGGTTAATATCTTAGTTTGGCCCGAACTATAGATAAACTTTATATTTTGGTTTGTGGTATCGAAAACTGTTATTTTGGTCTGAATTATGTAGCATAATTCCTTATTTGGCCCGGAGGTGGGTTTGATCGTCAAATTAGACGGTCAATTCGGTCAAGGTCCAACTCACTTGCCACGTCAACTCGATTGACCGTCCAATTTGACGGTCAAACCCGCCTCCATGCCAAATAAGGAAGTATGCTACATCGTTCAGCCTAGAATAACAATTTTTAATACCACGGGCCAAAGTAGAAATTTGATCTATAGTTCGAGCCAAACTAAGGTATTAACCCTATTTCTTACTACCACTATATTTCTTACTACTAGCTCTTGTTCCGAATCAGGTCTAGCTATCTTGAATTAGACGTAACATAATATGCATCTTGTGCGGAAAATAATGCACAATTCGTTCTAGAACATCTTTCAACTGGTAAACTATGTGGGATGATCAAAATTTGCCAAAAAGTATTTCAATTTTAAAAATTCTTCCCGTATAGTAAAATGCCTGAAAAGTGTTGATTTTACTGTTTTTTCTACAGGTTCTACGTATCAGAAGTTGTGGTGGCGTTGGAGTACCTCCACATGTTGGGAATCGTCTACCGCGACCTGAAGCCGGAGAACGTCCTGGTCCGTGCCGACGGCCACATAATGCTCACCGACTTCGACCTCTCCTTAAAATGCGACGACACGGCTTCCACCCCACAAGTAATAATCCCATCCCAAAACCCGCCGGCCGGAGTCGCAATTAACAAAACCGACTTCACCGTCGCCGATCAACGCCCTCATTTCACATCCTCCTCGTGCATCATCCCCAGCTGCATCGTCCCCGCCGTCTCCTGCTTCCACCCAAACCGAAAGCGAAAGAAGAAGAAGAAGCCCACCAACAACCACCGGGCCGCCGGCCCTGAATTCGTGGCCGAGCCCGTGGACGTCCGGTCCATGTCGTTCGTCGGCACCCACGAGTACCTGGCGCCGGAGATCGTCTCCGGGGAAGGGCACGGCAGCGCGGTGGACTGGTGGACGCTGGGGATATTCATGTACGAGATGGTCTACGGTGTGACTCCTTTTCGAGGCGTGGACCACGAGCTGACGCTGGCCAACATTGTGGCCCGGGCGCTGGAGTTCCCCAAGGAGCCCGCCGTGCCGGCGGCGGCGAGGGACTTGATCTCGCAGCTGCTGGCGAAGGATCCGGCGAGGCGGCTCGGGTCGACGATGGGGGCGTCGGCGATTAAGAAGCACGCGTTTTTTCATGGGGTGAATTGGGCTTTGTTGAGGTGCGCGAAGCCGCCGTATGTGCCGCCGCCGTTTAGTCGGGATGTTGTGTCGGATGATAGTTGCCCCGGGACTCCGGTTGAGTATTATTAATGAAGTCAATAATAACTAGAGTGTTATATATATGTAAATTTATTAGAAAGGAAAGTAGTGAAAAGAGAGGAAATTGAAGAGGGTTACTATTTGCCGCCCGTGTCATTACTATTTGCCGCCCGTGTATTAAGTTAAAATGACTTTTTTGCCCTTATCAACACTCCTTCCATCACCCTCACACTATCACATACCACCATCATCGGCAGACCATCACCACCAGAGCACGCCGCCGGCCGACCACCACCGCCGTTAAACCACCATCGCCGGAGCCATCGAATGAGACCACCTCCGCCGCCGTTTGACCGTCGCGCCGCTGCCAAGACCACTGCTGCCGCCGCCAGACCACCACACCTGCCGCCGCCACTCTACCATCTGCGGGCCGATCCCGTCCGACGCCGACGGGCGGACCCCGTCCGACCTTGGCCGGCGGACCACGTCCGACGACGGCCGGCGGACCCTTTGTTTTTTTATTTATGGAGGACCCGTTGTTGAGACACATAAATTCAATTAAAAATAACCTAATAGGTTTAGTGATTAATATTATTGTTTATTATTATGTTAAATGATAATGGTTTAGGATTCTTCCGTTAAGTGTCCAAGGTTATCAACCCGTGGGTTGACCCGGACCCGGTCGAGCTAGTGGGTCAAGGGTTAATGGGTCGCCCGGTTTAGCCCGTTTTAGCCCGGAAATTTGAAAAGAGTCATTATATTGTACTTTACTTGATAAATTATATCAAATGTCATCTAACATATGAGTAATAACATATAACATTACACCAAAGTAACATGTCGTACTTAGATCCAACATATAGTGAAAATTCACACACTCTTATATAATATCAATATTCAAAATTTCAACTAAGGATTCCAAAGATTGAGTTAGGCGAAAAGAAAAATCGGAAAATAGGCGCATTTCGCAAACTAAAAAAAATGACATAATTTGACCTCCAACTCGATACCTTATAGCGGTCGACCCGGCGGGTGCGTACGACCCGTTTTTCTCATCGGGTCAGGGTCAAAGTGGGTCAACCCGTGAGTCGACCCGCGGGTTGACAACCTAGAGTGAGATAGATGGGGGATTATTGGTATTATTTTTACCGAATTATTAGTATTTTTTACTTTATAATTATTCAACATAATAAACTGCTTTATTCCCGCCCCGAATTACGAGCCGCAAATAATGATGGAGGGATTACGGGGGAGAGATAAGCGGAATATAATAAAAAGTGTGTTAATAATTAATTATTTTAAGCATTAATCTCGCCGGTTATTAATTAAGGAAATAGATTGAATATTAATAGATAATCAGACGTGGGTAATTGGGAAGGATTGAAGGAATCCATAACAGAGCACAACATGCCCCGCTTAATTAGCACTAAAAACTAATTAGCACTAAACTCCAAATATTCTCCCGTGAGTGAGATGAATTAGGGGGTTATTGATATTATTATATTAATATTATAGGAATGAAATTAATAGGTGAAATGTTGTGAGACGTGAAATAAGGAATGAAATTAATAGGTGAAATTAATAGGAATGAAATTAATAATTCAAAATTTTAAATCCTAATTATAGTATTTTAAAATTAATAGGAATTACATATTAAAATGTCCATGTAATCATATTGATAATTTACCTACAAGTGTGGATATGTCATGTAATCAAACTAAAATGGTCGCGTTTTGCATTTGTCAATTTTCGCATTTATTAGAGTCATCGACTTAAAAATTATTGAAAACCTCGTTGATCCTCTAAAATGTGGATACGAACATGGTGGAACCGACCATTTCTTGATTGGACGTCCCAAACAAAAAAAGATGAATAGTGCAAAAATTTCCATCGAGATTTTTCGGGGCTCTGTGAATCATAAAATAGTATTTCTTGAGCCCATCATGCGCATTTCAATGATGCAAACAAATGTTATTAGTGGAAGTAGAAATAATTTTACCTCTAAGACAATGTCGTAGTAGGACTGGATAAGTTGAAGTTAGCTATTTGGTGGGATTTAGGGTTTAGGGTTAGAGAGAGGTAGAATGTGTAGACGGGGAAGATGTGTTTTCATCTTTTGTTGCCGTCATCGTTATTATTTAATCTAGCTAATTCCATGTTTAAAATCCAGTCTCACCAGATTTATTCACTCAACTAATCTCATTAATTAAGGAAAAAAATTTCGGTTGTTAATAAAGAAATGGAATTAGACTTGGGTATTGGGAGGTCAGACGTTAACTTCATTTTTTCCAAATGAATTCATTGTATAATAGTTATTAGTGATTAGGTCAATTAATAATGAAAACAGTCCACTAATTAATTGCTCAATCAATTCAATACCTTGTTTTGTGCAAGTGGATTAGAGATTAGACGGTGGGAATTGGGAGAAATCAATAAGAGAGCATTAAATGACACATAGGTAATTAGGGAAATATATTTTGTACGTATTATAATTACTTAACCACTATAACTAATTTAATTATATTAAATATTAATTAATCTGGTATAAAAAATATATTAATTAATCTAGCTAATTCCATGTTTAAAAGCCTCACCACATTTATTCACTAAACTATTTTTACGCAAAAAAATTAAAAAATAATTACTTTAAGTGATTAAATTAAATTCACCTACTACTATTAAAATAGGTAATTAATTATTAAATTATGGTTCCCCTAATTCCGTTGGTAGCAATCAAAGAGGAAAATCATTAATAATAAAAAATTAATCTGTATTACAAAAAAAAATCAACCAAAAAAAAGTAACCGTCCGCCTCATTAAACTATTTTTACGCAAAAAATTAAAAAATAATTACTTTAAGTGATTAAATTAAACTCACCTACTACTATTAAAATAGGTAATTACTTATTAAATTATGGTTCCCTAATTCCGTTGGTAGCAATCAAAGAGGAAAATCATTAATAATAAAAAATTAATCTGTATTACAAAAAAAAAAAATCAACGAAAAAAAAAATTAACCGTCCGACTTCCACCGGCGAACCCCGTCCGACCGCCGGCAGCAGACCCCGTCCGACCTCCGACAGCGGACCCCGTATGACCGCCGGCAGCGGACCCCGTCCGACCTCCAGCAGCGGACCCCGTCCTCACTCCGGCAGCGGACCCCGTCCGTACTCCGGCGGCGGACCGAACTTCTACGACCGTGAGGTGAGGGAGGGGAGGGGAACAACGACTGTGGTTTTGGGAGGGAGGGAGTGAGAAGGTGGCCGACGAAGGAGGTGGTCTCTGATGGCTAGGGTGGCTGGCGGCGAAGGTTGTTTGTGGTGGCCGGCGGCGGAGACTTCACAAGTGGCAGGCGGCGGAGACTTCACAAGTGGCCGGCGGTGGAGGGAGAGAGAGTTGGGTTGGGGATAGATTAGGTTTAGGGTTTAAATTAGAAAAGGGCAATTTCGTCATATTTTTTCTAACTATGGGCGGCAAATAGTAAAAGCACGGGCGGCAAATAGCGATTCATAAATTGAAATCCCCCCACTGGCGTATACTGGTCGGTTCGTCCGGGTGTACAACAAGATCTTTCAATTCGTTCTCATTCTACCGGTTTATATTTGCAGTGATTGTAAAATCACTGGATGTCAAACCAACGAGGCTAATTATGTCGGGAGATTGATACGGAAATTATAAGACGAAATGAGTAGTGTTTTTTTAGAAATCGTATCATATCGTCTGGTTCGATTGGATATATTGTATACCAGGTCCGAGCAACAGGTGGTTGGATTTACAAATCTCTTGGTTAATTAAATCATTCAACAATTACATTGTTCCTAATTCACTTTTAATCCAAGGGTTCGTTTGCTGGTTGGATTTGCAAATGAGAGATATCCGTTTTTAAAACCTTAGGATTTATAATAGATTTGTTGCATTACGAATTTGAAAGAGTCCATTGTTTGAATAGTTGATTTTTGGTAGACAATTTTTGTGCCCATTTTTTGTTTATATAAATAGTACCCAAAAAAACAAGATGCAGTATGGTGAAATTAGAGGCAAAACTAAGTGCTATAGTTAGAGCAAATTGTAAATTGGTGTGGTTTATCTTGTTAATAGAGTTCCTTCAATATTTAAGGAAATAAAGATATGTTGGCATATATACGTTATTTTTATCACCTACTTACGTTTCAAAATGACATCCAATTTAGATTTGACAAAACAGTAAATTCAGTATAAAGGGATGAATTGCGTTGATTTTGTATCACTGAATGGACCTTCTAATTAGTAGAATGGATGTGAAACAACCCACATGAGTTGAGATTATAGATTATAAACAACAACAAAAAATAGTAAACAAAAAAAATATAGAAATGAAAAATAATTAGGATGGTGAAATTGAG